TTCGAAACTTGGTGAAAAAGGGAGAGAGAACCGCGCGCAATATACAGGCGGGATACACGACTCGGAGATTCAGGTTTATGTCGCTCGATCGATCCTCGAGAGGTTCGACTTCGTGTCGGACGGAAGTACATCGATCGTATATATATACACAAATATACACGAGCACACGGTGGTGCACGATTGCGACAGTATATGTATATTGTATATACGCGATCGACGTATATATACTGCGTTGTACTTCATATATATATATATATATATATATATATATATATATATGAAGTACAACAATATATGAATATATATATATATATATCACGCTCTGTTATATCATCCCTCCGATAGTGCTTTGTGACATAGATCTTTCGTGTTTTGCTCCTGAATCGCGAAAGTCGGGTGCACGAGAACACGGTGATGGAAATAAATCCAGATACGTGTGAGGCTGTGCTTGACGAACCGCGGAATACGGGATGCATAATGTCCCACGTCTGCTCTCGATTACGGATGTCGAATGAATCCGCAATCGTGTTTCCGCTAAAAGCGAAGTTTAATTCCAAGTGGGAGCGACGACTAAATCGATCATCACGCATCCCGATATATAATTCGACGATTCGAAAATTTGCTCTCGGTGATTCAGAAAGTGTAGAGTAGATAGAGAAGAGAATAATTTGTTAATTTCATATAAAAATTTAGTATCGCTATATATAAGTTTTCGTGTCAGTTGTGTGTCTCAAGCGTGTATTATGTGACTGACAGAAGAAGAATCGAGTGACTCGTTATCGAGATTGTGGTGAATGATCATTAAAAACGCTCTAAAGGTATCAGTATCGTGTCGCACCTGTGATGGCGATCTTGCAGGACCACTTGCTGGTACCCTCGAGGACGATCTGTTCCGCCTGCTCGAGACTGTCTATGTGCGTATCCGGGTCCACTGAAAACGTCGTGCTGAAAAGAAGACAATTTCCTCGTCATCGGATCGTCCTTCGACAACCTCTCGTACCCCCTTTTATATACGGTTTATTTGATCGAAGAAGAGAGAACCCTCCCGAAGAGAGAGAAAGAGACGGGGCACCTTCGAGGGTGTACATCTTACGGAGGCCACCGAAGGGATCGTTTCGAGGCGGAGGATCGTCCGTATTGTATTATCCAACAGCCATCCAGCAGCAGCAGCAACAGCAGCAGCAACAGCAACAGCAGCAGCAACAGCAGCGATAACAGCAGCAACAGCGACGGCAGTATCATATTCAGCAGCTCAGCTATTATAGTAGCGGGGATTCGCGGGCATTCGCGCAGCCAGGACACTAGGATGTTTTTTCGGAGATTAATCCGAAATATGGCCATACATCTCGCCATCTGTGTGTATATCTCGTGTGAAAGCAAAGGGAGCCATGTATTTCAAATCGAGATGGATTAGCTCGGAAAACTGTCCTTCACGTCATTTTTCAATGTGTGTCTTCCGTAAGTTTTCCGGATATTATATAATACAGAATTCGATGAGTGAATAGAGTGAATGACGATCGAAGGAAATGAGGCTATCCTTATCTCGAATTGTATAAGTCGGCCAGACTCGAACTTGATTTGCATCGAAGATGAACGAAAAGGAATCAAGATTCGTGTATATAATGGAAGAAACAAAGTTGAATCGAGCCGATCAAACGTATCACCGACATTTTATGAAATTCCATCCAAAATGTGCGAGATGCACGAAAGAAAAGTCGATCGATCATACACGAGTTGTCACGCCACGATCGTACAAATACGTGCCATGCCACCTGTTAACACCTTGAAGTCGTAAAGTTATCGTTTCATATGGAGAGCTGACCGAGGCGAGCCTATCGGCTTGGAATAAGAAAACTTGTTGCTCGACTTATGTGGCGCATCGCCAGCGCGGGACTTCCGTTGATCTCCTCTAGTCGTGGTAATAATCGTTTCGCGAAGACGAACATGAACAACTTTATAAACGCCAACGTTTATGCGATCATTATTTAGCCAACGAGCTACTGTTACGGAGAGATATCAAAGGCTTTACCATAAATACTTTCATCGTTTATTTCATTATAAATCAATTTTCATCCGTCTATAAAAGTTCGGGGAAATCTAATTTTCTTCTCCTGTCATCGAAAAATAATCACGATTTCTTTTTATTCCAAGATTTGATTCTATATTGAAAGAAAGAAAGTATATTAAAGTTTTATGAAGCATTATTCGTTTGAAGTGTAATTTCATAGTCGAATTATTGTTGAAAAAGGAAGGATAAAATTTGATTTTCTCTCGAGCGCGACGTCTTCGAATATGAAGAAAGAAAGAATTGATGGAACAAAATTCTCTCTTTTGAGTTGACGACCATCCATCAATGCCGTTAAACCTCCTTCTGGTAAAGTACACCGAGTACATTGTAAGAGACCATATATACTTACTTATGTTCTTTCATTCTCGAATGAAAGAATGAGATTCGTTTTCCCTTTGATTCGAAAGCACACAATGGCCTCGGGGACGCGTTATCGCGCAGAAATGATGAATACAAAAAAAGGCAAAATGTGTACGTATACCCTCGCGTTGCGCATGTTATTTCGGTCAGATTACTTTTTTCACGATCGCGCACTTTTCTCATGCAATATATTTCCCGCGGAAAAGAAATCAATACCGCGCACTGTATGTACGTTTACGAAAAGTGTGTAAACGTGGTATTCTTGACAATATTTTTTCGATAGAAACGTAATAAGTTTACAAAGATTTATAATGTTCATAAGTTTATAAACTTCAAATTAAAAAAAAAGGAACTATGCTCAACTTTCTCGTATAGAATGTATCGATCCATTCTTGTCTTGCGTCTGAAACAAACTTTGCCCCTTTTATAATTCATAAACGCAATTTATTTCTCGAGATGTATGTCGAGATGAATGAATTTTTTCCGTATCTTTGACACGCGACATTCGTTCTATGTGATGATGTTAAACGCAGATCGCCAAACTAATCCGATGTATATCGAGGTGAAATTCAATATCCTCGACACGCGAGACTTTCCGTCTCGAAAAGCTACGCAGAAGCTGAAATGACGCGTTGATCGAGACGATGATCGATGCTTGGATTATCATCGCGCGGCAGAGAAATACAGGGAAAGAGAACACGTTTTCGATATACGTCAGAATGTGTGACTATCGGCTCATCGGTCAGGGATTCTCGTTCATAGAAGCACAATGACTATAGTCGAACCGGGAGTTTGCCTTAGACAATGGCAACGGCACATACTTGGCGCCACAACAAGTTGCCACGTGACCTTAATGGACTTTCGATTGAATTCTCACCAAGAGAGAGTGGGAAGAGCATCGCGTGATAGCTGACCAGCACGACGCATAACATGTAGATAAATACAGAGTGTAAAGGTTTAACATATTTTTTAATATTAATGAATATCCTCTTTATCACTGCAAAATATTCACCGCAAGTTTAATTTTTTAAATTTGTCAAAAGTTTGAGAAAAAAAAATAAAAACTTAATTTTTACCTCTCTCTTTAGAAAAGTGTAACTCCTCAGGGAGACATATAAGAATATATGTTTGTATAAGAGAAACCTCCTTTATAATTTTTGACAAAGAATCTGCTCCTTTTCACCCTTATTGAGATACACTCTGTATATACACACTGTGAAAATTCGTACATCGTCATGATGCGTAAAACAAAGCAACGCATACTTAATTGCTGGCTCGATAAGGCTTATGAATTTCGTTAATAGAAATTAAATTGGCCGTCCGTATCTCGAGCATTTCGAGAAATATTTCACTGCACGATGATAGTCGAGCTGTTGTTTCTGGGAGAATCGTACGGACCGACTCGCGAGAGATTTTATTTGAAACGCGAAATTCTGCGTTCTCTCTCTTTCTCTCTTTCTACCTGAAGGAGAAAAGTTTCTGCAAATCGTACGAGAGCGTACGAACGAGGCGAGAACTGCTTGCAAACTCGATTTCGCCGATTTCGTTGAAAAAGGGGCTGGTCGTAGCAGCGGCAGCTGGGAAATTGGCACGAAATTGGAACGAAGAGGAGTACCGTTGAGGAAAAAAATAAAGGAAAAAAAGAGAATTGATGAGGAAGAGAAGGAGGCGAATACCAGGTAATATCCAATTAATGGTGTGGTACACTAACTCGGGGCGCGCAATATCGTTACATCCAGCGGACAAATGTAATCATAAAAGAAAAACAGCACACACACACACACACACATACATACACATACACACACGCATATATATACACACGTAAAACAACAACATAGCGTACACGTGCGCACACACAATAGTCTTAATATCATCTTGAACAAGATAGTTGCAGAGGGTTGTAAGTCAAGGTATTTCCAGAGGAGGTTATACGAAAGTGGCTCGTCCATCGTGACATTATATAAAGCTCACGGGGCAGTTAAGTTGTTAGGTGCGAAGTTATATTCCAACTTACATAAAGAAGTTAAAGGGAAAAACATAGAGATAAACAAGTTTATTCGAGCGATTTGTAGCTCGAACATAAGATAGCTCTCTCGCGTTGTCGTACGATGGTCAAACGATGTTTTAATAATGGAATTACATAATGGGAGACGGACAGTCCGCTGCATAAATGCTGGTAAGTTCATGGCAATCGATACAACGCAGCCACGCGCGGTAGCCATCAAGAGCCAAGTGTCGTTATCGCCAGATCCGACGATATAAGGCACGTAATGCCGATAATGACGATAATAAGAGAACATTAAAGTGTAAAAATATGTGCGTACACGCATTACGTATAAATGTATACAAGTATATATATATATAGATGTATGGGGATATACACAATAAGGGGGGTGACTCGTAGATGAAAAAATATACGTAGGCATACGTAGGCAGCACACATAAATATATATGTACGTATCGGGACGAGCACCGGATGATACCGATGCTCGCTCGAATCGTCGCACGCAAGGGGGTGCACAAAGACGAGTTTAGGAGCCTGCGAGGCACGAGCTGCCTGCTCACAAACCTGTAATAGCGATCTTCGCCGACCACTTGCTGGTACCGTCCAAAACCGACTGCTCCACCGACATCATGTGACCCGAGTGCGCCTTTTCGTCGACCCCGAAGACTGACCTAAACTCCGACGAGACTCTCTTTCATAAAAGCTGTGCCAACGGCCGCGATCTCGTCTTATCTGCAGCATCGCGAACTCTTCGCCGCGAAATATAGCTTTCTCCGTCGCGAGACAATTTGTCGGTTGTCAATTTAAACGAAAATGTTAGGAAAAAAAAAAGAGAAGGTAACGTGATAAATGAAATTGAAATCGACAAATGCATTTAGCCATTCTTTCGTGCAAAAAACCTTGTGCTCGTTTTAGCGATTTTCGTGAAATAATTACCTATGCGATCCGACGGTTTCGGAATTCTCTCTGCAGAATCAATTGTTGAGTCAGATAGTGCTATTTCTTGCTAAATTTTTTTCCGATATCGCGAGCGTATAAAAGGTTAAACGAGGAGAATCGAGCGTATACGTACACGCCGCGACGGGCAATTAAGTCGATGGAAATTTTTGAAACGCGCTGGACAAGCGGCCGGCTCTAATTAAAGCGACTGGTCATCGATCAAGCCCCTAACGAGAACGTTGATTGCCCGATAGTACACGATATCTGCGCTCGATGAGCATCCAGATCCACGAGATTCGGAGACCCAGTGCGGATCGTCGCGATTAATATGCGTTCATCAGAGAAGACGAGATCGAGCCTTGTAACGGTGATGATTTCGCGCATTATAGCTTCGCTTGCTCTTCGTTACATATATTACTCCATTTATTACGACCGTCGCCACTGCATCGCTGCACTTGTCTCTGCGCTCGTCTCCCTTTTAATTACGGATTAATTCCGGTCTGTCGCCGCCGAATGGACGGACGGCCCTTAATTGACAACTAATTATTGTCGCCTGAGATATTAAATTAATTACGATTTTCAATAATGTGTATAATTATTGCGAGCGCGACATTTCGCGATGTAATATTTCTTGCAAAAACGACTGCGGAGCGCTTTTCCTGGAGCGCGTGATAATGAACGCTGCAGCTGTTCCGCTAATTTTGCACGTGCTAATTACGGTAGAAGCGCTAAATTACGGTAATACTCAGGGAGTAAACGAAGAAGAAATATCTGCATATATTTAATACGCACTGATTAAGTCGTACGTTTATACTGATATGATAAAGCGCCAAAGCGTGGGATCGTCTTTGTTAATTTCGTCAGAGAACATTTTTAACGAGTTGAAAATAATATCTGCAAAAATTATACCTGCCTATACATTCCATCCCGAAGCAATTAACAACTTTTACAATTAATCTCGCCAATTGCGTAAACACATTTTACAATTATATGCACCGAAAAAGACGCGTATTATTACCATAATGCGCTAACGTGCGACTAATTGAACAAGCATCGTGCGAACGGTTTATCGGCGGGATTATTCGGTCTTTCATAATGCAGATCGCATACGAGCGAAATTAATTAACGTTGATATTCACTAATATTGTCTGCTTGTCGAATTGGCTTTCACAAAACTGTAGGTACGATGTGTTTTTCGTATTGTGTTCGCGATATTTATAATCATATCGCGATATAATCAGCTAATATCAATAATACGACTGAAATGCAGAGCGGTGGGAGGGGTCCAGATGTCCCGAATAGCTCGATTAACGACGCTTAATTAATTATGGCACGAGCTACGGCAGATATGCGACAGATTGACGTAAGGTACGCAAATGCGATTAGACGATTATTATGGCGATGTACACCTAAACCGCGTCCGCGTATGTTTATCCATTTATCATTTATTATGCAAACCGCTTGAGAATGATGCACACACACACATATGTCACCTGCTTGAATAGTAAACGAATCAAAATTTATGTCCCTCCGTTATGTATATAATATAAGCATATTTATTTAATCCGTTGAATTATCGTCAAAATATTAAATAACGCGGCGAACTTTTTGTTTTCGACTAGATATAGATTCAAATGTTCGGATTGGAAAATGATATGTTAAGTATGTGCATAAATGTCAATGACGATTATTAAACAATATTAATTTGTGAGATTATTTAGCTTCCCGACAGAGTTTATTTGATCGAACAAGAGTAACACGTATACCCATTACGTCAAGCGGCTTTTGCCATACACCGTTTAATCGATGACATTGCGGAGATTATTGTGACTGAATAATGTATTACATTTCCATTTACTATACTAATTATTACCATTGTGGCGCGTTTTGTAACTGTATGTGATTTCTTTTGCACAGCGCTTATTTGACACGTGTATTATATTTCCTAGCTTATATTATATACGTAATGCATATATAAAAATTACAATATCTGAATATAATATGTTAAATAATGTTTGCGCATAGAGATTCTAGCATCTTTTGCTGAGAGATCATTGATCATACTAGATAATAGGTTTTCAATAATGAAATGCATTATGCGAAGCCGTAAAATAAATACACTGTACCAACCAAGATAAGAGAATACTTCGAAGTTTAGACGATGTGCTTGTGCCGTATTCATCGTATAAAGCATTGTTCACGTATGTTTACACACTATGTTACCGTAAAGTTACGTCAGGGCTAATATTAGCGCAAACAATGTTTATAGGGCGTTTAACGATTTCCGATCGTCCAAGATCGGTGGGATATATAAATCCGACGAGTTTTTGTTTTTGCAGAATCGTTTACATCCTTATCTCGCGCAAAGAGACGAGCTCTCGAGATGGAATGGAATGGGAGGATTGTTTTAATGGCGGCTAATTAATTTCTACAGTAGTTGAAAATGGCTTTTGAGTCGCTATTAAAAGTGCGCCATGTTCGCGAGATTCCAACAGAGGCGACATTAAATATTTCTCTCTCACTTTACAAGATTTATATATAATTTATTCCGAAACTGACAATGGACTTTTTAATCCAAAAAAAGCAGCGAGCAGTGGCGATCGGCGAATCGACCTACATCGATCGACGCTATTCATTCTCGAACTGTCAATGACTTGACAGTCCTACGGTTCTCGTTGCTTCGCATCGATTTCCGTGGCTGCGGTAAAAGAAGAGAGGAAAAAGAAGCGAGCTCAATGTAAGCGGAAACTCACCGAATTAGTTCGAAGATCTCTGGTTTTTCTCGTTCTCGTTGCTTCATCCTCTCCTTCATCGCCGTAATTATGCTAATCGCCTTATCCTCTGCGCCGTGCTTCGAGCTTTTCTCAGCCGCTCCTATGAGAATGAATAAAACAGCAAAACATGAATATATATATATATATATATATATATATTTGAGAGATTCGCATGATATGCTTGCAAGTATAATTAGTTGACTGCACTATTAACAATTCGTTAATACAACTCGATCGATTAAATATATACGCAAATATTTGTTGCAAATTAATTTTCATTTGCCTTGAACCAAATGTGTGTTGCCGATAAAATTTTTTTATTTCTGACAAAAGAAAAATGTATTTAACACACGAAAAAAGATTTATTATACAATTTAGTGTATGTACTATGTACACACCGCATGTTATTTTTCAAAATATATTGATTGATAAAATGCTTGACAAAAAAAAAAGAGATTTGCATTGGGGCTTTTCCCGAGGAAAATAAAATAAAAATTGTGATTCGTATCACCAATATGTGATTGAGCACATAATAATAACATTTTCGTATTCTAATATCACTTGAATACAGCATTAATAACAAGACATCGCGTGTATATAACGCGTTCGAGGTATTGCATTTCGCAAATTATATATACAAATTAGAAAACGTATCACAGATCGTAATATGATGGCTGTGCATTTTGCGCGTTGCATAATAGTTGCGTCAATTTTAATGACATGTAATCGCGACATCAGATATGTTAGATGCAAGGATGACAGCGAATGGTAACGAAATATTTTGTGATCCGATACATAATGATCGATCGCGTTTCAAATATAACACGAAACTTCCACATCCCCTTGACACGAGCAATTTCAATTATTTAAATTGAAAATCTTGTGAAATGAATTATAAAATGTGTTACATGTTTATATACACACGTATATAATTTTTATTAAAATTTTTTTAAAAGTATGTATAATATATGTCAGGAATATATTGATTTTGAAAGAAATTTAATTTATGTACGACAGTGATTAATGTTCTTTTTTCTCCATTTAGCAATAGAAAAGCGGCCTAATTCACATAAACATAACAAATAAATAAATAGATATACAATAAGTAATGTACAAATATTATAAATATTAGTGACAAAGTGTAGCAATTTTTAAATTTTTAAAATTTTAATATCTCATAACTATAAAATAGCGTTATTTCTTTTCGTGCTAAATGCTTCATTTTATAAAAGAATCTGAATTGTGGAATCCGAAGACATCTTTTGCAACTGCCGTTCAATAATTCAGCATTTCGTGCATGAAATAATTTAGTGCTTTACAAAACATAAAAAGAATCCGGATATATCTGTTCTCACCCACAATTAGATCTTGTCTTTCATTAAAAATAAATTCTTACGCGAATATTTTTCAACTTTTATAAAACATAGTTTAAAAATTTAAAAGATTTTTTCAACACAACATTTTGTTCACAATAAAAATGCTAAAAAGAAGAATACTTAAAATGATCAGACATATATTTTTAGAAGTAACAGAATGTTTCAAAGATCTAAACAAGTGAAAATCACCAGCAATTTAATATTAATTTGCATCAATTAAAACGTTATTTTGTTGAATTTATTTCAAAATTTAAAGAGAATAATATACACACATTTATTTTCTACGCTCATATAGAAAATGCTCGGAATTACACCAACATTACATTCGCGTGTGTAAATAATTAAAGTGAATGAAATAAATCTGTATGCGAAACTAAATTGAAACATAAATTATGTGTGTATACACGTTAAAAAATTCGATGACAGATGGACATATAATGTGACACTTAAACTGTGAGCGCATCATTTAAATACCTGAAAGTGGTGAAAAAAGTGTCGGCAATTCTCTTTTCAGTTTTTATCTGTATGTACATCGTGTTTCAGTCAATGACGAGCTTTAAAGAATTAAAAATAACGCGAGAAGGAACGCAAAGAGGATATGAAAAAAGTGTGAATGAAAAAAACTAAACGTCTATACTCGAAAGTACACTGACATTACAATCGCGTGTGTGAGTAACTACGAGTATGAAAGAAATGTTTACGAGTAACTGAATGAAGACATAAATCACCGCGTAAGAAACTCGATGACAGCTCAACATGCAGTTTCATACCTCGAAGTGTGATATGTGCGAGCTAAACAACTGAAAAAGAGTGTCGGCACACCTTTTTTAGATTTTATCTAGAACGTATCGAGTTTCATCAAAGCCGTGCGATGCTCACTCGAGCGTGTCTTTTAAGAGAAAACGCACGAAAAAAAAAAAAAAAAAAAAAGAGTCGTTCAAGCTCGAAAAAGCCTCGTTCAAGCTCGAAGTTCGAGTCAGTGGACGTGCCTTATAAGGTTAAGGATAACGCGAGCAGGAAACAGAACACCAAAAGAGAGAGCGCCGCCGAGCCTCGAATCGACGAATTCGCTTTCTCTATTGAATCTAATGGTCATCGGTCGATGACTCCGCACGGACTTGACATCCTCGTGGCTTTTAAATCAGAAAAGTGTCAATGTGCCATGCAAATCACAATGCATCTCCTAAATTATTATTTCTTTTTTTATTAAACTATGAAAATAACATGATTATAATTATTTACGAATAGTAACTCCGCGCGGATTAATTAATACACATTATTATACTGATAGATATAATAAATATGACAGATGGACACGAGAATTTATTACCGAATAATAATTATATAATGAAGAAGAAAGCCTTGAAGACTAAATGATGCAATGCGAAATAGCTGATGCATCGAAATTATACAATAGCAGAGAATAAGGGTGAATTATATAATCGGAAACGCGAAATTATAAGGCAAAGTAAATTGATGTGCGATGAATTGTAGATTCATAGCGAAAGAGAAAAAGAATAAATTAATCGTACAATGTCGAATCGAGGAAAGAAATTTTATTGGGCACATGATGGGAATCATTAGTTTTGAAACGTTACACAAATTGATAACGAATAGTGATGTGACACAAGAGTACGTACGTATATATAGGAAATGCAAAGAAGCCCGTCAAACTCAAATTGAATGTGTGATAAATGGACGGACATTATGTCGTTACTTCCCGATTTTTCCGGATAATGAAAATTGGTTTATAAAATTCATCGCATCATATTATCGATCCATATCTATCAAATCAAAACGCGAAATGGTTTTTTATATTGTGCTTTATTGATAAAATTTTTCCACGAGAGATGATCTAATTTGCAAAATTCAATTGCGCCTTTTAACAAGTTCGATTATTCCGTTGAATTTTACAGGGAAGGATAATATCCGTTTATTGACAAGACGACGGAAATAACACTGTCACTGCAACGGATTGAAGTCGGAGTCTTACGGAGCAAATTAAGTATTAATTCTTATCGAAGTAACGACGACGAGGGATTAAGAGGAAAATAGCGTCGTTTAAATATATATGTCTGTTGGAATTTATTCATTCGCACTAATCTCTGTTTAACGAACCGCGAAGCCTTTCTCGACCTCGCTTAGCTCTTGTTCCTTCGCCAAGGGGCAACCGATTTTACTACTGCACACTCGTTAATGGCTAGAATCCGAAGCTCTCTTAATTGCGGTTACTTATTGTCCGGCAAGAAAAGCGACTTCGCTGCCTCCGACACTTTTAAATACATTTGTAACTTCTCGATAGAGAGATATCAATCGTTTTAATATACGTGATTATGACGATTATTAACTTCACTAACGAGACTTTGCTTAATTAACGATATTCATTTATTTTATATCCTTCCGACATTTAGCCATTTCGCAACAATGTCGGCTTCGATCGAGCAATTAACGAAAGCGAAATATATATAATTAATTCAATATTTATCTTTCTCAATATATACAATACATAATAAATAATTTTGTGATTATAGAAACGAAAATTACGCTGGGAGAATAAATTGTAAAAGTAAAGGCTGATGTTACTTACTCTGCAAGCAATCGGCATTCAGGAGGTCCTTGCACTTTTCGTGACACTTGACACCGCACTCCATACATCGCACACCCTGACGAGCGATGCCCCAGAGAAGACCCTCGCATTCGTAGCAGTAGGTCGGCGATGTGGCGGTCCAGGTGACGAAATTGTGAGGAGTGGTCGACGATATCGGGTAGATCATCGCCTGCAGAGTTTTCTTGTACACGTGCATCTTCTGTGGATGTATCATCGCGAATGCATCGCCGGTAAGTCGAAAGTGAACATTCGGGGGAAAGAGAAAGGTAGGAAATAGGAGACGGATAAATGGTTTATGGGGAAATGCAAACATTTGCATTTATTTTCTTAAAGTTAACATGTTGCGACCTTCGAAAGAGCGAAACGATTCATTAACATGAATTGTTAATTCCTTGGAAAAATGAATGATGTCATCTCTGACAATAAAAAAAAATCTTGGTCCCCGATATTAATATAATGAGAAAATGCGTTTTGTGTAATTTATCAAATTTTCCGATATTATTTCGCTGACATTTATTATAATTTCAAAAGAAAATCGAACATTGAACCTCCGATATTTACAAAGAAATATATGATTAAGTGAGTATGTCGCGGCTCTGCTGACGTACTATAACATTCTATTATCTTGTGTATGAAAAATTAATCAAACAACCGTATATATCGGATTACATCAGAAACTATATCTCAGCAATTGCTATTTCTAGTTGAAAAATGAGATGAGTTTTATTCTGACCTTTTAAGAAAATTGCTTCTCCGATTTAATGTTTATTTCGCGTTACTTTTATCGAACTTCAATGCGCATTAATTCGTACGAAGTGTCTAGATCTACTCGCTTCAGTTTAAAATTTCGCATTTCAAATAAGTAAAAAGCATTTAGGATTAGCATTCATTCTTGTTCAAGCGGTTTCTTGCGTAAAAAACTTCCTCATGAATTCAATTATTAATCGGGAATATCTTCGTGCCTTGGACCCTATAGTTACATATAATCATGTGCACGCAAACCGTATGCAGTACTTAAAGTTTCGCAAAGGAAACCCCTATGAAAGTCCAATAGAAGCGAATTGGATACACTAAGAGGCTGTTTTGAGGTTCCTATACTCGCTCGTGCTACTCGAAATCAAGAAGAATGACTTTCATCTTTCGGCTTTCGATTTTCGAGAGCATCTCTTTTGAGAGCGGTTTTTTTTCTTTCTCTTTCGGACATTTTTTTTCCATGCTTGGAATAGGGAGATTATCTAGGAGATCTTCACAAGCTCACGTAGGCGAACTTCTCGGTCCTAAAGGAATCATCGACGTTTTATGTCAAACATCTAAAATTTTCACACTCTTTTTCCACTCTCTTTTTTTTTACGATTTTTTTGCAAAATATCTTTCAGTTTTGTACGCCGAAAAAATTCTATAATAAGCACATTTTTTTTAAATGTCATTAAATTATCTAGCAAAAAAGAGAGAGAGACGGAGAGAGAGCAAGGGTATAAAGCATCGATCCGCTAAGAAGCACTACTTTAACGTGTGAAATGTGTTGGATGTTCCTCTCGATGCATGAATCTTTCAAAATTCATATATTATCTCGACGTAAAAATCGACATGAGCAAATGGCTAAGTTTTATCTTTCAGAAATTATCTTTCAACGCGTTACTTTTTTAGAACATCGGGCACATTAATAAATCAATTTTTACATAAATATATTTTTCATCCGAATTTGTGGATGCAATATTAATAAATCTTGCCTGTGCTTAAATTCTACACGTCGAACATTAACAAGAATTATGTTCATGCGATAATATAATTGAATATCAAGTCACATAGATCTGGATGATCATGTTTTTCAAAGTGCTTAAATAAATCATGTATTTATCAAATTAGGTTGGATACCGAATATCTTTCGTACGTGCAAAGTGATCTCTGCGAGAAGAGCCCAGGTATTCGATACACGAGGAACATCCGACGTTATAGAAATCAAAAACTCCTAACACTAGCTTAGCTATTTCTTTCTGATACGGTGTCCTGCGCCGTGATACTTTGTAGACTCTCCTACGGATATCCTATATATATATATATATATATATATATATATATATATGTATGTATAATATATTGCACGCGTGTGCATATTGTAACCGCTATTCTCTCATATTCTCTATAATGCATACGTATGCATGTACTTTCATGTGCATACGTGATGCGTATATGCATATGTCATGATCTTAACCGCTAATGTATTTTACACTATGCTGCTACGTGTTGCTCAAAAATAACATAGTGTGAAAAGGAGGTAAATAGAAATAAGGAAAGAAAGAGCAGAAACATCACTAAATCACACTTACGTGAAAGAAAATAGCGTGGAAATGAGGATAAAATGCAGCACGTTTCGTATGAAAAGAAAGAAGAGTCCAATGGTTAAGTTAAGCTCCTTCGGCGCTGGTCTCTCTCGCCGCTATTGAAACTTAAAATTAAATGATGTGCGACCTAACTCCTGCCTGATACCTGTCTCCATATTTCTTCCGATATTACCTTTCGCCATAGATCTCCTCCTCGCAACTAGAAGCTACTATCTATAGAAGTACATCCTTTTACTTTCGCTTTCGATAACCTTTTCCTTTTATCCGATCCGTTGCTAGGGTTCTCGGATGCGTTGCAAAAGTAATTAAATTCCAGAATTCTTCGTTTCGTGACTGATATCGTATCAACCGATACGATATCTTGCGATACAAAAAAAAATAATAATCTTAAAAAATTCTATAAAAGGGCTTACGATTAGCTGGCTTGGTTTTTTCAAAGAATATTTAAATATCAACGACGCAGAGAGCGCAATTGTCAATTTTCCTTTTATAGAACAAACACGTTTCTCTGGGTTTATTAAACGGTAGCGCGACGTGACGATGATGAGGTACAATGATTAAAGGACAAGTCCTTACCAGCTCCTCGTCGTTCAGAGTAGCTCGTGGCACAGCGGACGTAAGACCAGCGTTCCTCTTCGTCGCCGCCATAGTCTGGGAAAAGATAGGGATTAATGTGCATCTGATAAAAATTAATATCTTCTAGTCTCTCTATCGCATACTCAGTTCTCTAGTCCTAGGACTGAGAAACTGAAAGGGAAAGAGAGAGAGAGAGAGAGAGAGAGAGAGAGAGAGAAGAGAAAGAGAAAGAGAAAGAAAGAGAAAGAGAGAGAGAGAGAGAGAGAGAAAGAGAGATTGAAGGAAAGCATTAGAATAAAACAAATCGAAATAGACGTGAAGAAACGCAACGAAAGAAGAAGAAGAAACACGCAGAAGAGTTCTTCAAGAAGTGTGTTATTTACAAATATTTTTCAACATCGAGATTAAAACGTGGCTATACTATATATATATATTTACGAGATCAAAACAAGAGTGACACGACGAAAGAACGTTACGTAATGAGAGAAATATTCAAGAGTAATAACAATTTTTAATCAATCGAGAAATGTCAGTACATTTTTAAAGAAACAACTTCACATCGAGATTAAATTGCATCCGCCGTAATAACGTCGTTGAAAAGTTGCAAGAGAGATAAAAACAAATCCAAAGCCGAAGTGAAATACTATATATATATGTAACGTAAAAGTCTTGTGACGTAAAAGAAGCAGTGACATTACATGCCAAGTGAAATATCGAAGCTCAATTTCTATTTACAAGTTTCATGAAATAAATATAATGTGACTTTTATGTATATAATATCATACATGTATTATATGTATAATATATTATATATACGTATATTATATGTGTATATTATATAATATATGCATTTTATAATATAATACCCTTGAGAGAGAGGGAGAGAGAAGAGAACCGTGCTAAGATATTGTATTGCAAATGTTAAAGGATATTTTCTCTGCATCTTCTATATTTAATCTAGAGTCTTATGTAGCCGGCTGACATTTATATAGTCTTGACAAGAGTGCGCGTGTTGTTTGTGAAATGTGTTACAAATTTAATGCTAGTGATGCTGGCTACTGACCAGCGCGTTTGAGCATACTTTACAGCGAATGTCAGAGAGCACGCGCGGAATGTGTTTGCTCGGAATATCGTGTGTGTGTGCGCAGATATTCACAAATTTCATATATTATCCATACGATTATCTTTGCGCAAAATCATGAACGGGATAAAATTAACATGGCGGTCAACAAACAAGATTGCAAATATCTGAACCGGTGATAAGATTCAACTTGACATTATAGATCTAGAGAGGCTACGGTATTTCGAGACTCAAAACGGAAATTGTACGAGAAGCTAATCAAAGATTAATCCTGTTTAATTAATAAAGTCGAGCACAGTCTCAATGTAGCGTAGATTTGCATGTTCGATTGGGAATGCATATATGTGTATATACATGTAACGTATGTAATACTGGGCAAGATCGAAATTAGAAGAGAGGATAGCGATAGTAAGAAAAGTCAGTGAATGGCAAGAACTAAGAAGCGAATGAAGCGGAAAGCCAGAAGATATGTAAATCAGTTGACAGAAAAACGATGAAAGATAAGGATAAGAGAAACAAGAGATAAGTAGATAGATAGAGATAAAGAGAAGGAGAGAGGAGAGAGCGAGCGTAGAGGAATCTCTAGAGAGCGGAGAAGGAATTTAATCTAATTAGCTTATGGTGTCTGATAGGTGTGGTGAGCGATAGGATTTGTGGTTAGCATAGATTTCAATTAAGATATTATGCACAGGACCCGCGAACCGTGCACGTGCCATTGTTTCGACCCGATAATCAAGTATTAATTCCGTGTACGCTAATCTCGCTTTTATCGATCATAACTGACGTTTGTTATTGCGCCATTGTTTTTTTTTCCTCTAATATAGTCTTTTACTCGAATAAATGTGCTGCAAGGTTGCACGAGGGTGTCATAGTAATTTAATTTTATTTCCTTCGAGAGTCCCGCGCGCGATATCATATTTTTCAAATGATATCGTTGTGCGCTCATCTCCTTCGCTTCTCGCTTTTATCTTCACCAAGAAAAATAAGCGAACAAGTGAGAGAGACGGACAAAGTAATGATTTGAATCGAAGCAAGCCTTCGCTGAAACGAGTTGCTTCTAAAAATTCATTATCAAAACGTTTATTTATGATAATGATATTTTCATAACTATTCGTAACACATGCGTCTACGACTATTAAGACGTTTATATATTTAATATTGATAATTATATACAGTATAAATAATTTCGCATGCAGGTAAAAGAGATTCTGTAATAGAATAGAACAAAAATATCTCACGAGACTAATTGGCTTTATCAAAGAGATTGGAGACTATTGGATGACTGTGAAATTTAAGTGCACCTGAGAGAAAAAGAGAAAAGAGGAGAGAAAAGGAGAGAAAAATGAATTATCCAAAAGCTTCTTTAAATGGAAAATAGATCGCTAATCCGCTAGACTTTGCTTAATTCTTACTGATGTTTTTCTTATAGAAAATGTGATTATATTTTTGCATGCAAAACACAAAGTTACACAGATAAGCCATCAAAAAAAGCACGACGACAATACGTCTCGTTGAAGTGCAAATATCTCCCATCTCTGATTATATACGAATCAAAACACCAGCCACGTCCAATTTAACGAGTCGCTGGAGACTTGACATGCTGTTTTCTCTCGTAATCGATATTTCATCCGTGAAGGATAAAAATTGCACGTTTCGCGAATAATGAAAAAAATTACTTTGACCTCTGTTTACTAACGAATACATATGTAACAGAATCGCATCAAATTAGAGATGCAATCAAGATATTTCTACATCGCTGACTGTTTCGTCGCGAAAGAAGAATGCGATTTTCAACGACTCGCAACGAGGGAGACATGCATACATATATTTTTCTTTCTATTTATAAATTTTTTCTCATTTCGTTTAATCTAACTGAATATACTTATATGCGCGAAGCGAAGTTACATTAGTCCATGATAATAAAAATTGCAACTTATGCATAAAAATTATTATTGCAATTTATTAAATATGCAGTACATAAAAATTCAATAAATATTTAAATATTTAACAAAGAACAAAAAAATAGAATTTTCTACAAGAATCTTTCGATCAAAATATGCTGTGCTTCTTTCATTATAATTGCGCGTCTGTACACGTCCATCTCGCTGTATATCTCGCGCGAGACTAACTGCAAGACTTAGTGACGAGGATCGTCACTCGTCACTTTGGCTGCGCGCCTCGCGCGAGACTGATTCTCATTCGAGACATCGCGACTGCGAAACAGATAATCACATGATCAGTCTCGCACGAGCCGAGTTGTATTTTCTGTTGAAGATTTACATGTTGAATTTTTATGCATTGCATAATAATATATTTTTTACACATTAACTTTTAACGCAATAATAACTTTTATGCATGCATTATAATTTTTAAAAGAGTAATATAACTTTACTTCACGCGCGTAATTATATTCGATTAGATTAAACGAAATATATAGTTAAACATTAGAAAAAAAATGTTCGTCCAAAGTGGACGTAAAAAATTTAATAGAGACAAAAAAGAGAGAAAAAGAAAAGAGAGCAAGACAAAAATATAAATATTAGAACGAATAGAAAAATTGTGATTAAGAAAAAACATAAGCTATATAGTGAGAATAAAGACGGATAAAAAATCCACATGCAAACATTCGAACAAGCTTCTAATCGATTTGGCTAACGAGGCATTTAATTAGTACCTTCAAGACCTGGAGGTAGAGTTTTTGAGATTTTTGAGAGGTTTTTTTCAGTGAGTGGTTTTGGTTTTTTCAGGTGTTCAGGTGGATACAACAACGGGCGCCACAGAGAACAAACAAAGAAAATAGCATTATATGCCGGTTAGTATGTGTACCACTTGCAATTTTTTTTTCTTTAATTATGATATGAATATATAGGTATTTTAAAAGTTAGGCAGAAGAGAGGCACAAAAACAATATTCGACGGACGTAATTAGGACTGATTCATCACGAGAAGAGAGAGACATAATTAATTGAAGAATATAAAAATGTGAAAAATAAAAATAAATTTACATTCTTCTTTGAAAATATAATGTTATATAAGATCTCGTGTGCAATGATCATTTGCATTTTAAAGGTGTTTACGTAGGTGTGTATGTCGCTCTCTCCACGATGAATTTAAACGACCACCAAAATTACTGGGCGATAATCGCATTTTACGCGCGGTCGATCAATTTCGTTTGTCCGACATTGATGCCGGTGATGCATGGGTTCACCGCTGCTTCACCGCAATTTTTCCGACGAAAACGTTTCGCGATTATAACCTCCAGTAATCTTCTCGCGCTTTTCGCATACTGCCTGGACAATTTTATTCACGACGATGATATCACATAAAAATAAATATTTTACGTCGCGAGATTTTAGGATTTGAGAGATTATATAATATGAGAGATACACAACACAATTATATAAATATATATATATATAAACTGTTAACATTAAACGGGGAGACAAACATACAGGAGACAGACATCGGATTCTAGGATCTAAAGAGATTAAAGATTTTTTATTCGGGACACGGAGCAGACAACGCTACTTTTGTAGAAAAGAACAAGAAGGTGGAGGAAAGGGAAGAAATGGTAAATTTTCTAACATTAAATTCATATAATTTGTCAGGAAAATACAATCACGGTTCTCATGTAATTCCGATTTTATGATTTTCCGAGTAAAAAAGTGGAAAAAATCCAATTAAATAGGTCAATCGAAAAATCAAATTTTCTATTATTCAACTTTCGATTTTAATTACGTTTTACTATGCCAATAATGTATCTCACTCCCTTAAATTAAATCACATTTTCCGCGACACACTTATCCCCACTGAGGGCTTTTCTCCGGAGTAGGATCGATAAACTACTTAAGAATTTCATTTAAAGCATCACGCACTAGTTGCACACGCGAGCTCAACTTGCGATGGCATATTCGTGTGTGTGTATGCGTGTAAGTGACGTAGGCAAGACATTTTTATAATGAAGCACGCGCGTCATCGTACATATAATAATTGAGACGAGAGAAAAAAATATATAGGATACATATTCCGTATATTTCATATGAAACTCGGTCTCCCTCAACGTTTTATATATATTTTATTTTTCTCCCTTCTTGTAAATCAAATTCAATTTCTTTAATCGCTTTTTATCGAATCGTTGGTCGAAGTACGCAAAAGCGAAAGGCGATTTACTTAAAAGGATTCGCGACCAGTTTACCTCTCCTCCGCACAATGTCTATAGGGCAAGCGGAACAGATCATCGAGGTATAGGTTCATATATGGACGACTGATCCGAATTTCAAATCGCGAGCTTTCTATAGTATTTTCGATCGATCGGTCGACGAGATAAAAGCACCGCTCGGAAACCGATCGCATCGGTAAATTGCGAATTCAATTTTTCCAGCGGGAATGTTCTCGTTGATTGTAAGCATAACGATCATTGGCGCGATATTATATGTGTAACATTTGCGAAACGTTGTTGAAATAATGAAAACTCGTAATTCGTATACAATATTCGTGTTGAACCAATTTTAATATATTTTATTTATTTATTTGTTAATGGATATTTCGGAGAAAGAGAAAAATATATTAAATAAATAACCGTGTCTCTCAATATGGATTATAAATTATTTTCAATTTTTTTTTATGGGAATGTCAGGAAAAGAGGAAATTATACGAGAGGAGACATTTCGTCAGATTCAATCGTTGGCACTTTGCGATGGTTTTTGGTAAAATTAGCAATTCGATTCGTCGCAAAGAACGACGGTAACACTGAAACGTAAAACACAATTAGGTTACGACGAGGTACACGTTTGTTACGAGCTGCATCGGAGGATCTTTCTTCACTTTATCAAATACAGATAAGAAGAAGATTTCATATGATTCCAATATCGTAAATTTGCTTTAGCAAATCTCCTCGGATGCGTCGTATACACGATACACAGAATTAGGTCTCGCGACGAAAGTGTTTTAGGTCGCCGTCGTCGTCTCGCAAGATAAAATAATAAAGAAAGTTATTATTATTTTGCAGTTGCGAAAATAGGATAATTGTTATATTTATATGTATATATATCAAACACAAAACATCGACTGGTTGTTAATATCATAGCATGATCAATACAGGTCGTCTAATTAATCGTGTTCTGAATATTGATTAATGTTTTATTATAGTTCGCTTCAATGCTAGAATCGGCACAACTCGCAAATAAATTTACTATGTACGACAATTGATAATATATTTCACTCAAGTTTCTATACATAGCACTCATGTATACAAATTATATATAACAATTTGTATATATATATAATAGGTATAAGTATAGTGCTATATATATAGGATAATATAAATATATTTAATACAAAAAATATTTAATTAGAGAGAAAATATTGAACATATTACGGAAATAATTTATCTATTTTCCACGTAACAATATCAGCTAAAAATCATATTAGTGATTATACATAATTTATATACTGCCGTTTGGCGAGTTCTCACGTATCTCACTATATCTCCGCTCGAAAATGCACACGTTGCACACATCGCGGTAATTAATTCCGACTCTGTTTTATTCCACAAACGCGGAATATACAGAATTATAAAGCGTACGGGGACGCGTTAAAATTTTTAAAGAGAACCACGCGCAGAGCCGGGAGATGGCCTCGAGCTAGTCGAGCGAATTAATTAAATTTAACCGGTCGCATAATCAGATTGAGAGAGGTCAGACCACGTTGCGTTGTTGAGTTGCGAGAAAAAGATCACGTTTTAAATAATATTCTGATAATCACGAAAAGAGGACGACGACGACGACGACGACGATAACGATGATGATAACAACGAAAACGTTGGGTTGGTAATTATTTCCGACGAATATATGTACGGACGGTCCAGGCAATGTACATATATGTATGTGTGTACACGGTGTACTTATGTATATATATACGCGGAAACAACGACGGAATGGTGTTAATGAGCAATCGGCTACCTACCAGCTCGGAAACCAACGGTATCGACTTCCGGCGCGGTCGAATGTCCGGCATGCTGTCGATGGTGCTGTAGAAATTGTCTCTTGGATGTCTGGAACAGAAACAAGATTGCCAAAGTTGCGTCAACATTGAATCTTCAATCGCATGTTCGATCTTTCTGCTTCAATCCTATATATCTTTTATCTATATATTCTTATTTATTACCCTATTTATTTAATATTTATTTCGAAATTAATATTACTTTATTATATACTTGATACATTTGTGGGATTACGGATATTACCTTTGACTGCGAAACACAATATAAATTTTCTGAATAACTTTGGGAATCAAAATGAAAATGTTCGGATAGTACGATATCGGAAAAAAACCAATGAGTACCAATAAAGCGTTTCCAAGTTGAGTCTACGATTAATTCCGTGTAGATTAAAGATGAACTAAACTTTCGAATCAAACTGTACGTTCAAGTTAGCCTTTACTTCTAAGGCAGATTTTCTCGAACGATCCATTTGAAAATCTGTTGGCAACGTAGTAGAAATTTGTGCTTGTTAGAAAGTTTTCAGGAAATTCGAGTTTTCGCAAGTCTAAATCTCTGCTTCGTCAAGCGATTCTAAATATATAAGATTACATTTGAAATTTTTCATCAAAGCTTTCTGATAAACTGCATTCACGCGCGAAAAACGTGATGAAATATATTAAAATCAGAATAAATTGCAAAATTATTGATCGATTTGAGAATTTTACATTATTTGATCTCACCTGCAAAGACTTTAGCATTAGGATTCAAATATCTTTGCTTAATACAAATATTGTTGTTAAATATTGTTACGTTCAAAAGTTTTATTCGGAAAAAGATATAAAGTATGACAAGCATCCATGATGTTTCGAAATTAAAAAGAGCTGCCAGTTATTTATATATATATATAATAATTTTACTCAAATGCCAAGTAATAATAGACCGCAAAATATATTATTTATGGTTATAATTCGAAATAAAAATATGTTGATCTCTGTGCGTAACATGGATAATGGGAGAAGTTTTATCCCGTTCTCCATTTGACATTTAAGAAGAATGATTGATATATTATTTCTCTAAAAGAAAGAAGAAAAGAAAAATCGAGATACACATTTATTTCTCTGCTTATCGAGCACAAAGAGATATATTTTTAATAATTAAAAATAAGTTCAATAAAAAAAAGCACGTTGTTTAAAATATTAATAGCCCATTTCTCGTTAGCCAGATATTAAAATATTATGCCACGTATGTGGTATATGTATAATAAAAAGTCTATAAAAAAATTAGTTGTTCTTAAAATTAATATAGGAATTGTACACAAATTTTAATAAAATTAATATTAACGTCAGCGTATTAAAAAAAAATATATATATATATATATATATCTCAAGTTTAATTAAAAATGAAAGGATTAATTAACGTTGGAAATGATATTGGAGAAATAATAGGAATATAATATCACGATGCACTTACCCGTTCGCTCGTCCGCCGGATTCGCCGCCTGGTCCGCTTCCGTTCTAACAAACAAAAAAACAAGTTTATTAAAAACAAGCTCAGTAACAGTTCGAAAAACGAAATGGAGAGCGCGCGATATATGCCACTCGTGCAAACGCAACGTGGCGCGCAGGAAATTCTGATTTATTTTCAATTACAGTCTTGAATAATAGAGAAAGCGCGCGGCCACGGAACAACGCGAGAAGACGTCGTGCGAGAACAACACGATGATGGCACGAACACCAGGCCGATCTCGCTTGAAAAGTCTCGGGTTCTCTCCCCGTACATCGTAAGCGATATTCTAATAATCTCTCCGACGAGAGCCGACACGATATTACAAAACCGCGAGATGAATTTCTCGCTCTAATTTCCGTGGTCGCGCGCGCACATATACATAATACATATACACGCACAATGCTCTGCTTTGTAAGACATTCTATCGCCTAAGAGAGAAATTACGAGGGAGGAGTAGAATGAGAAGGGCGCAGAGAAAATCGCTTAGTTATGCGGGGAGTTTTTCTCCACGGGAGAGAAAGATAGCTATTTTTTCGCGCGCGGTGTTCCCAAAACAAAAGAATGATCTCTCCTCGCTCTTTTTTTAAATTACGAGAGTACCCTCTCTACCTTGTCCCTTCCTTTCATCCCCTTTGGTCGCTCGCTCGTTAGATTAAAACCCGATTCAATTGTTTCATCTCTCCCGCGCATTTACAGCTGCATTATCCTCTTTGCCCGTCTACTCGTTCCTCGAAACGCAGGTTTCTCGCGAACAACAGGAAGCTTCCATCGATTGCGTCGTCACACACATACGATGGTAAACCTATTTTCGTTCTCTCTCTTTCTACCCCGATCCAACATATAAACCACCGCTTTCCGTTTAATCCCTTTCTCGTTCGCCGGACAGGTCGAACCCATTCTCGTCTCGCTTGTCGTCATTTATCAACCTTCGGCCTGCCGGGCGACCTCGAAGAAGCACAGGCATTTTGTCGTCTGTCAGCCGGCTGGATTCATGGTTCGTTCGTTCGTTCGAGACCATAGTGGACTCGCGATAAATTTTGCCAGGTCCTCGAGTCTCCGAGGAGATCTCTCCTCCATAGTGTTCCTATCAGTATCCAGCGTTTCCTCTCTCGTTACCGTCTCTAAGTCCTCATTCCGATAACAATTTTTCTCAATAAAAACTCTTGTTCTTTCCCTGTATCGGTATTAACGAAGGACGCGAGAAACTAGAAGGATTAATCGATACGTCCAGGTGGAGAGAGAAAGGAATGTGTCTGCGTCGGTTGGAATGTTGGATGCTGTTCACGCTTCCGTCGTTTTCGAGAATGTCTCTCTTTTTTTTTCTCTCCTCTCTTTTTCCTTTTCCCATCTTGTCTTTTCGCTCTCCTGCGCTTCTCGTGCTAACCCACGCTGCGGCCGCGCGGTGAAATGGAAGTTTTGGAGATAGAGAGATGTGTAACAGCCCGTATAAATATAATATCACGTACAATACGTCGTAAATTCTGTCACGATAGAGATATAATATAAACTTATCGATAGCATAACAAGTGTAATAAGTATTTAGAGTTAGAGCCGCAGGTATGTTCGTCCCTTAACGCTGTCTTTCTTTTTCTCTCTCTCTTTCTCTCCATCTTTCTCTCTCTCTCTTTCATTTCTTCCGCACATTTCTTTCATTCAATTTTCTCAATCTCATTTTCTCAAATTACAATTTTTCGTTCGCACTCTTTCGCGCTTCTCGCTCTCTTCTTTCTCTCCAACACTCTGTCGCTCTCTCGTACTCATGCTCTCTTTCTTCTAAACAGTCTCGCGGAAAGGGTCTCTTCTCTTAAAAAGCTTAGACAACATTGGAGTATGACAATTTTCGTTTCGTTTTCACATTTAATCACGAAATGATGGCCTTCGAGAGCGTCTCGTTATGAATGAAGGGCGCATAAATAAAACATGAGGCTTAATTCTCATTTTCGCAATATGATATCGCACATGAATTTGCATTCGTAATTACATTGAACGAGAACGCTTTAATTGGCAATAAGGATTATCTTTGGTCGGAATGAAACGATGCGGAAATTCCGCATCGCCGGTTAAAGCGTTATATAATAATATGCTAAAAAAAAGAAAAAAAAAAACAACAAACAAATATAATTGCGAAAATCGTGAAAACCTTTGAAATAAAAGAATTCGCGTAAATAATCTCTGCCGTCTCGCATAAGTAAAAACTGATTTCATTACCGGCACGAAAACTCACGTTCCGCATTTGCGGCGTGGAGTGACATTTTCTGCCGACACAGGGCGATACGCGTACACAGATTAATTATTCATAATACATATATATATTGTGAGTTTTACTGCGCAACGGCTAATTAGAGCTCGGTTAACTCGTAAATTTTGCCGCATAGCGAAATTAGACGCGACATTTCCAATGCTGTGCGATGTAATTTTTGCTAACATGCGGTAATTCACGCGACATAAAATTAATTTATAACGTATATATATATATATATATGGTCGATCGATAAATAAGATATAGAAAGATAAACATGTAATGTAGGGTAGACGTGCTCAACACGAAGATGCGCTCGAAGGCAAGGAAGTACAACTCAATATGATATATATTATGTGTATATCTACACGGAATAGTATTGTTTCGCGAAAATTCTGACAAGCGTTCGCTTAACAATCAAAACCTATATAATCGCATTGTGTGAGTGAATGGTATAGGTATATATCCATATGTAATGTGTGTCTGCGTTATTCATTACTCTCTAACAAATTTTTTTCTCGTTATCTATTAGGCCTTAACAACGTATTTTCCCTTTAATTCGCTTAGACACTAGGCGTCAATTGACGGCGCTATTCGCTAGCTTGAGAAGCCTTAAGAAATCTTCGCTGTACGTACTACATCGATCGATGGAAGGCGGACGCCTCCGTGGTTCGCGTCCACCTCCCGTCCGGTTAATGATATGACACTTAATGAAACGATATCGATGATATGCAGGTGCAATTTTATAAGATGTCAGCTCGTCGAGACTCTGTGACTCGTCGTGAGATCGAGGGATAAAATACAGACGCGAATGATCCTTCCGGGATTTTGTGTAAATATCTTGACACTCTCGACTGAGGGTCGACGGCTCTCGCACGTATTTTTCACGAACAGTCTTTTCCTCGGCGTCAAAGTGGATCGGGGTCGCGGAAAAAATTTATGCGAAACTTGGTCTCGTCTCGACGAGAAGACGCTCTCACGATAAAGCTCTCGGTGCCGTGTATCCTGGTATTTACCTGCGGCCAATGAACGCGGAATATATTTAGAAAGAAATTTTTTCTCTCCTCTTTTAAAGTGGAGCAAATTGAGGCACGTCAATTAGAGAAAAATTATCAATATTTACTTAAGCGTTGCGGCAATCTATAATTATCGATCGTAATTACTTACGAATTTATTTATACGACATACTCCAGAGAAAATGTCTAGTATATATGTATATATATATATTTTTTTATTGTTACGTATGATATGTAAAAATGCGTGATTTGCGTTGATATATACTTGCGAAACTCATTCCGCCGCGATATATATATCAAACGTGATGATTTAGTGGGGATGATAAGATGTTGGAATTTCGACAATCTTTGTGTATGTATATAACAATTCGGAATATTTAATTCAACGGAAATAAAATATATATCACGCGAAAGAAACGCGATTATAAAATTCTCTCTCGCTCTTAAATGAATTAATTCCAAGCAGTGATTATCATTATATTACGTGCGGTGCGCGTATTATAATAAACCTGCGATAATATTCCTGTAATAGCTGACATAACTTATTTACGAATTCAAGGACAACTCCCTCGTGATGGATCGTAAAAATAACAAAAATACTTACGAGCACAAAATTGCGTTTTATATGGCTCTCAAGGAGAAGATATATCGCGATAGTGAGTCGGTTGTACAGACGTGGTGCGTTAAAAAAGATTACCACGAGTCGCCGGAATAGATTTCCCGTGGGTCCACATTCGAAAAGTGAACTTCCAACTGTCACAAAAGTGCACGAATATCCGTGATTAATGGAAATGGAAATGGAGCAAGACACGAACGAAAGAGCTAATATGACCTCAGGAAGAAGCGGCCGCATGTACGTATGCATATGCGACATGCGCATGCATATTTTGCATAAAAGTCAATTCTGCATTGCGTCTCGGTATATTACGTGAGATCATCGTTGAGGAAATGAATGCATCTGTATTAAAAAAAAAAAAAAAAATTGAAAGCGTGCCACTGTAGAAATGGGATCTTACGAAGGCTGTCAAAATTCCAAAATTTATAACGATATGTAGTCGTGATTCATGAATATGTATATATGAATATGAATGTGTCGTTATAAATAATTATGGTAATAGGATTAATGTCGTTAAAGGAAAGTAAATAAACGATAAACTAATAATTGATTTCGAAGCGAATAAAGATATATATCTGGAGAATGTCTGTACAAATCTCGAAGGAAAAATCGATAAGTCAATTGAATAATTAACCGAATTGTTGGCGAGTACCATAGAAGTATATTATACCGCGCGTGTGTTTCAACATTAATCCAAAACTGAGTATACGCAAGCCGCAGGTAACCAGAGGCATCCGCCCATGTATCTGTATACGTGTGTGACTTTGTGGTAAGTAACATGGACACCGTGTACGCACGTATAGGTATGCATATGCGATTTCTGCGAATGATATGTCGGACCGTGTATATGTGTGTGACGATAGTAGCATGTGGTGTGCGCCGTAATTGTGCTAGCAGACAAGTCGTAGACCCACACCTGCGTGGGGGTGCAAACCCTAATCCCACGTTCGCCTAATCATCCCACAGCTCACCGCGATTTATCTTCAACTTCCGTTTTCGTACGTTACCCGAATGTATAGTAATACTCTCGATATACATATTCTCCCGTCGTAAATTATCATTATACACAGGACGTATCCGTTTGCAACCGTAAGCGTCTTTAGTGTTGCATCGATAGTCTTAATTACGGGATATGTA